GCAACCCACAGTGTCTCGCTCCTCCGCTGAAGCTGAGTATCGTTCAATGGCAGCAGCTACAGCTGAGTTGTTATGGATCAAATCGTTTCTGGACTCGCTTGATGTTCCACATTCACACCCTATGCAGTTGCACTGTGATAACCAATCTGCCATGCAAATAGCTGCTAATCCAGTTTTCCACGAACGTACCAAACATATAGAGATTGATTGTCATTTTGTACGCGATCATGTTCTCAGCAATACAATCACTACTACCTACGTTCGTACAGATCAGCAACTCGCAGACATATTTACCAAACCGCTTGGCATGAAGCAATTCAGTTTTCTTCGCAGCAAGTTGGGCATTTCGTCACTTCATGCTCCAACTTGAGGGGGCGTGTTAGGAGAAGATCACCTTTGATCTTATCTTTTAGCAACTAAATCCTAGTTTTTAGCAAGAATAGTTTGTTATTATTCCATGTATAGTTTGTTGAACAGTATACTTTATTCTAGTTGATCCTCCTTGATTCTGTATAACCGACTTGTGTATATATTGGCTATCAGCCATTTCATTAATTATAACAACATATTCAAATCCTCTTAGTTTTCTATAGAGTCCCTTGACTTGATTGATCATGCAACAGTTGAAACTCATACTTACGATGCTATTTTGTTAGATATTTGTCAATGGGCATGTTACTGGAAAAGAAACTTGTTCCGCTGACTCATTCAAAATTGTGTTATTTTTATATAAAAAAAAAAAAAACAGAGTGGGCTTCACATTTATTGTATCTGCATGTATCATGATATATCAAATTTCCTGCAATATTATACTTATTTTTCGCTTTGTTAATTTCGTCAAATTGGGAAGTTGGTGGTCTTTATAGGTTTTGGAAAGGAAATTATTGTACTGTTATCTTTCTTCAATCCATGATATCATTCGGAATTTGGAAATGGAATGCTTCTCATGATGAGTTATGCGCGCAACTTCTTGCAGATAGTTCTGGTGCCCTGTTCGGTAGAGCTTATTTCGTCGTACATCAATGTTAGCAACACTTTTATTTCAAATGGCTTATTTCGTTTTATAGAAATTTAAAAAATAAAAAATTACACACACAGTTATAAGTCATTCATGACAAAATTTTCATGCACTAGATCGTTTCCACTTTCCAGCGAAATATAATATCTTGGTAACAATGTGTACTGGACCTAAATTATTTCCCATAAAACCAACTTCAAGTTTGTACCAAAATAAGAGCATGTGCTTATTTGCATTTCTTTTCGCCCATGCGGTCTCAATTTCTTTTCATATTTGGGGTATACTAATAGCCCGATTAGAGCACATGTGGGCTGTGGTTTTGAGAGTTGAAACTAAATATGGTTTACAGCCAGCCAATCGGAGTTCATGGGCCGGCCCACCAAATACCTTTAAAATATATCTTTAGAACTAATTTTTTTTTAATGTAATTACAATTAGGGGTGTTAATGGGTTAGGACGGCCTACAGGAGCCTACGGCATAGTCTATATTAGGTCAGACTTGGCCTATTACAAATAATAAAATCGAACAGATCTAGACTTTTAAAAAAACCTATTTAGAAAACAAATCATAGGTTTTTTTGTAAATGTCGGAGCTATAAGCCTACAGGTTGGCCTATATCATATTATTTATTTAAATAAAATAAATAAATTTATTATTTTAATAATTTTGAATAATAAAATAATATTATTTTAGTTATTCTTTTAATTGTTGAGTGTTTAATAGGTTTAAACAGGCTAACAAGCCTAGGTCAATGCTTTTATTTTTTAAATATAGGTCAGACCAAACTTGTAATTTGAGATCTTCACAGGCTAGCAGACCAGGCCAGACTAGACACAATATTTTTTATATAGACCTAGCCTATTTAAGTCAAAGTCTAACTTAGCCCAACCTATTTACATTCCTAATTACAATGATAAATAGTATAGAAAGCATGTGCTTGATGGAACGAAAAACACAGCTTATATATATAAATTAGATTTAAAAAAAGCAATGCAATAGATTTTCAGCGTGGATTAAAATTTGGATATTTCATTTAGTGAGAAACTTTTAGCGAAAACACTACTAAATTGAAATGGATAAGTACATCAAATGCCATAATAGATAATTATATATTGAATGTGCCAGTGTACCAGTCCTGACCATTGCAGAAAAACTCAGGTTATATATAAGCAAGAGAAAAATTATTCTTATGTTATATGTGATAATTTTTTCTCCTATATATTTTTTGATAACTGTGCCACTTTTTTCTTTTTTTTTTCCTTTTTCAGACGGTGAAGCCCACAAATTTATCTCTATGACATGAGATAACTTATCTCTTTTAACATGAGATTAATAAAATCCGATAAATAAAGCCATTGTACAAGGCTCAATGAGTTGGTCCATGTGTCAGAAACCTATTTTAAGTTTTTAATTTTCTTAATATTCACATTGTGTATTTTGAATCTTTTGATTAATTTATTTTAGTTTTAAAAACTTGTAATTAATTTTTTTTTAAGAAATAACAAATATTATTTTCCTCAGAACTTAAAGAAAATATATAGCTCTGATTTAAATTTTTATTATTATCACATCATTAAAAGGGTTTAATTATGATAATAGTAATAATAATATAAAATGAGAATCTCTTTTTTTTTTGGTAATAAAATGTGAAACTCTTTTTTATTCTATATAATACTTGATCGAATGAAGGTATGCATATATTTTACATTTATATTAAAATTAAATTAAAAAAAATTATTGAAGATTTATTTTATTTTATTTTTTTATTCAAATCGATTTAATTTGATTCAAGTATTGCTGGATCCATATTAAGAATAGTTTTTCTATAAATATTTTTAATAAGGGAAAAAATCTTTTTGTCACTTAAATTATTATTCCTAATTTTTAAAATATTTTCCAATATCAAAGAAGACTATTGAGACTTTAAAACAATTAATGACGCACATGCTGTTATAGTTTTATATCCATTTTAAAATATTCATTAGTCAACAGAAATCATTATTTTATTTTATTTATTATTCAAAAAACTAATAAGACATTCACGTTTTAAAAAAAAAAACATATATGACTGTCTCTTACTCTCTTCGTATTTCCAATGGACGGTATAAAAGGAGCATTAATAAAATGAAGGAGTAATTTAATAAAATATAATTTAATCTTCAATCAGGAATGAATATTTGATAATCTTATTATTTTTTATAAACAAAAATCTGAAAAGAAGAATATTTTAAAATAAAAATGGTATTATTGATGTTTCTACAAGGGCCTTTTTGGATGAGCTTGTAAAAAAAAACTTTTAAATCTTATTTATTTTAGAAGTGCTTTTTATAAAAGATAAAGCTATTTAGAATTTTTTTGAATATTTATTTATTTTTTAAAAAAATTGACTTTGACTTCTGTTTTTTTAAGTAACTAAAATTTTTATTTTCTAAAAAATACACTGCTTGACTCAATGAGTGCAGCTCAGTTGGTTCCTTGGCGTTGAGTTAGTGGGATTGGACATGTGTTCGATTCCCGCTGAATGCATTCTTGGGGAGGGGGCTGAACCTTTAGCCATCACTGACCCCCGCACTCCGGATTAGTCTCATAGCCGGCTCAAAGAGTCGAAGCTTGTGGGGATACCGGAAGGAGCCAACTCGCCTCAAAGAGGTAATTAGGGTTGGGTAACTCAAAAAAAAAAAAAAAAAAAAAAGGAAACAATGCTTGCCATGTAATTTTGAATTGTTTTGGAAATGGATTTAATTATTATTAAAAAAATATTGGAAAAAGCCATTCCTATATGACTGGACTAGAACTTAGTTAGGGGTTCACGGTTGAAAAGAAAAAAGAAAAAAGAAAATCTTTTGTTATGTTATTAAAGTTGATCACAAATTCTAATTATTCTTTACATTTTAGTTATTTATTACATTTATTTATTCTAATTATTTTTTTGGGCTTGATGTTTCTTATATTATACGAGATAAAATTATCTCTTACATACATATAAAAATGTATATGGTTTTGTAGGACCACGTGAAAAAGAAGAAGGAGAAAACGAAAATATAAACCTTATACACTTTTATGTATGTGTAGAAAATAAAAATTATTTCTCATCATGAGAGATATCAAATTCATTTGTTTTATACGATATATACTACATTTATTTTTAAGATAACAGGTAACAAATCATACTATTCATGGGGGAGAGGAAGGAAGACCCCACGCTAACTCTGCAAGCGTATAAATTTAGGGGAAAAAGGAATGTAATAGTTATGTATTTTCAAAAATACATATATATAATAATATAAGTTATATTTTTTTTTTTAAAAGTTGTTGACTGATATGAAAAGTAAAAAAATAAATAACTAAATACAACTTTAATATTATATCTATATATTTTTCAAAATACATAGCTATAACTGTTAAAATGACATAACCTTGTATATATCCTTATGTTTTTTAAAATTACAAACAATAAATCCATAAATTTAATTGTTATCGTCTCACTGTAATAATAACTCTAGGAAGGTGGGTTCTATTACCACCCAGTAATTCACGTTGGTTAGATTGTGTTCAAAATTTTAACTGTTACAAGTGAATCACTTTTGACAATTGAGATCATCGAAAACAAATGAAGACACTACAACAACAAAAATAGATTTATCATATATCAGGCGAGTCCAGCAGGAATCCATGGCGGGGATCACATAAGTTAGACTAATCACACCAAATTTATTCGATGAAAATCATAATTCATAATTTAATCCTAGTTAAAAAAGTTCAGACAAACAGTCGCTTTATTCTTTTGGGCGTATGGAAAAATATGAAGATTTCCAACTCAACACGTCTTGTACATTATATTCAAAAACTCTCGTGACATCAAAAATTCATACATCAAAACATTATTTATCCTTACTTCACAGCCTATTACCTCAAATTTCCATTCTTGATCGTAGGGATAATAATGTCTTTCAGGAAACACTTTCAAGATCTTTACCTACTTCCTCATCAACTTTCTTCTCCATTTTCCTCGCCTTCCAATCATCAAAGTAAATCACGCACGACACCCATTTCAGTGTATTTACCACAGTGAGGAGCCCAATTTGCAGAAAAATTCCATTCCCTCCTTTATAGCATCCAAGGAAGACACAGGACAACCTTAAACAAAGTCCTAAAGCAAAGAAAACAAACATCAAAAGGAGTCCTCTCTTCTGATTACCTCTGCTGAAGAAATATGAAAGTCTTAATGCCCCAATTCCATATATACCATCCAGAACTGATATTACAATACTCATATTCCAAATTGCACTCCATTCCAAATACATCATCAACAGCTTTGCAAAAGCTAGACAGAAAATTAATGCAAAAAATATGTAACACCCTAAACTCTTGTAGAAAGTATAACAGTTACTTAGGGTCCATGGAAATGCAATCAGGAAACAAGTTGACCAGAAAAGCATATACAAAGAAGTAATAAGTGTGCCTTTAATTACTGACATGTCAATGGATTTTTGAAACATCTGCTTGAGACTCATGTTATGCTCTTCGGAGCGAAGCGTTGAAGCCAAATCCATAGTTACAACTGCAGAACAGAGTTCTAGAACATGAAGAGGCACCAAGTAAATGAATCCAAGTTGAATCAAAACAGGCAAACAATCCTTACTAAAACTTCTAACAGGGATGTCATTGTCGGAGTAAAATTCAATAATTGTATAACCCTGATATTTTTCGTAAAAAGGGAGAAGTGAGATAATTTCTGGGGTCTCAACCATAGTTTTCTGGAACAAAATTTCAAAGTAAACCATGACACAATAGAAAGGAAGAGAAGTGAGAAAGGTGAAGACGATGAAGTTGATGTTTGTTACATAGATCGTTACAGCTTCTTTGAGGATATCCAAGACCTCCATCTTCTGCTTAACTCTTTCGCTTTCACTCTCCATTTCTGCACTTCCAACTCTATTACCAAGCTAGCTAGTTCTAATTGAATCCCTGATGCTCAATGCAGATTCTCATTATAAATAGAATTTTTCTCTTGATTCTACTTTCCAGGAAATACACCTTTTGCTTTTGGAGAAGACTTTGACTTTGTTTGACTTCTTCAGCACTAGTGGTTATCTATTTTATAATTTGAAATAAGAGGTTATTAATTAGAGGGACTCTTTTTCAACTCCTTTGCCGACCATGTGTTTTTATTTTATTAAAGGGACTATTTGATTTGAAATATGAATCTAAACGTTTTTTTTTTTTTTTTTTTTACTTTGACTGACTTCAGCACTAGTAGTGCTATGAGAACGGCTCGACGATCAGGTTAGAATTTTTGTTTATGCTTGTATATTTTTTAAAAAATATTTTTTAAAAAATATGATAGCATGAAAAAAAAAATAACGTACATTAAATGTATTACATTAACTATTAAAATGCATTATCAAATTTTTGTTATACATAAATTATATATCAACAAATGAAAATAATAAATATATTAATACATCTGAATATACCTTATATGAATGGGAAGGCTATAAAGCACAGATACGACGTATTCTATTCGACACTTTAATACTCGTTGTAATATTTCAAAAAAAGTAGATTATGTTCCGTTGTATTTTGAATTTCAATTATTAGATTCATTACAAAATTATAGTATAAGTTTAGTTTTATTTTTTTTAAATTATTAAATATTTTTATAATATATACTATATAAATTAAAAATATTATATATCTATCAAAATTTAATATTTTTTAAAATTAATATAGAAGCGGTAACATCTCTTTAGTCTTTTCTACACTATCAAAGATTTTAGTCTTTTCTACACTATCAAAGATATTGCAAGGAGGGAATCAATCTTTCTAGTCGTTAGTGAAAATAAGTTGTAAATTAAAAATTAAAGTATCACGATTCTCAACAACACTATCTACGACAAACGGCTAGCTTTTTCCCAGAGACATCAATTGGACAAAAAACCTCAAAATATTCAAAATAGATTATTAGTATTTTATGCTTTGCTGTCTCAATAAAATTACTTTCGAACAAATTCTGTTGCAGATAAAATATCAATCTATAGTCAATTTTCATTGACTACCCATCCCAATTAACAAGATAGATTACTAATGTTACTAATGTCTATCAAGCTGTACACTTCAGAGATATACACCCAAGTCATTAAGTAAAATCCATCTTCAAATTACAGAGCTAAGCTTTACACTGAATTGGTGGGGTGCGCCAGGCCCGTGCAATAGTGCAACGCATGAGCGACACACGAGAGTCCCAGTAGCAAGCTACTGCATTGAACCCTCCCCCTTAAAAAATTAATTTAATATCATGTGAACCGATGGTCCACGTATCAGATATTAAACTGATAAGAACAGATACTACACTTGATCTTAGCCAAAAGGCCGAGAAAGGTATGAGTTGTGATGCATTGGAATCCCTATTTTATAACTAAGCCTTCATTGCTGCTTCTTTCTCCTAAGCGATGTGGTACTTTGTCATGACTAGTTCAACACTGGGCCCCGCACAGAGGCTTTCTTTCTATAGCCCATGTTGCAGCATTTATTGAAGGGTCGACCACGAACCATCCAAGTCTAACAAATCTTGTTCAAACCTTGGATAATGGATGCGTTCAACCACAATTAGTAAAGCCAGCATAGCTGCTCGGGTCAAGTTAGTTGCTGCATAATCCTAGTAATTTTGACAAAATAAGTTAATGAAAAAGGACAACAACGCAACATATTGAGTCGTTGATACTGGAATATTCTTGTCCTGCATGTTAGAGAGAAACAACAATACCACTGCTCCAAAGACCAGTAACTTGTCTTGTCTCTCAATTGTAATAGGGTCTTTAAAATTGAAGTTGTTAGGCTTTAGTTCTTTGAATCTTCAAGTTTTCCAGAGAAAATAATAAGAAACATAGATAACGTGATCTGACGCAAATTCATTTGGAAGCCAATTTCATATCCCTCAAGCGATATTGGTATTTGTAAATGCAAATGACATTCTTAGATGGATTTATTAGAAATTAGAATAGCAAGCAACTCTAGGAAAGAATGTATGAACCTAACAAGAGAGTAATAGAAACAAACTCCAAGGAGTCCCTTAAGTTGATTGACCATGCAACGGTTGAAACTCATACTTATGGTGCTATCTTGTTGGATATTCTTGAATTTCGTCAAATTGGGAAGTTGGTAGTCTTTATATGCTTTGGAAAGGAAATTATAGTGCTTTTATCTTGTTTCAAGCCATGATATCATTTGGAATTTGGAAATGGAATGCTTCTCATGATGAGTTATGTCTGCAACTTCTTGCAGATAGTTCTGGTGCCCTCTTCGGTAGAGCTTATTTCGCTGTACAAAAATTTAAAAATAAATAAATAAAATTACACACAGAGTCATAAGTCATTCATAACAAATTTTTAATTTTCTTTTTAGATAAACATGTATTATTCACCGAAGACAATCCTATTCAAGGTGGTCCAGGATCATACTAGATCGTTTCCACTTTCCAGCGAAATATAATCTCTTGGCAACAATGAGTAATGTACCTAAATTATTGTCTATAAAACCAACTTCAAGTTTGTACCAAAATAAGACAATGTGCTTATTTGCATTCCGATTCGCTTATGCGGTCTCAATTTCTTTTCTCTTTTTGGGTATACTAATAGCCCGATTAGAGCACACGTGAGCTGTAGTTTTGCGAGTTGAAACCGAATATTGTTTAGAGCCAGCCAATCGGAGTTCATGGACCGGCCCACCAAATATCTTTAAAATATTTTTTGTATAATGAAAAAGTTTATTTATGTATATTTTAATAAAAATATTTTTATGATTTAATAATATTTAAATAAATAGAATTTAAAAACTTTCTACTTTAATTTTAATACACTTCAATATAATTTTTTTTTGCAGTATTATCCAATTTTATATTAGCACATCATTTAATAAATTTAACAAGGTGAAATAATTACATGAAATATAAAACTCATCGAATAATATAACAATATATGATTTAATGATAATGTAATTTTTTTTATATTACCATTACATCAAGATTAAATTATATAATAACAAAACAAACTTCAACTTTTAAATTAACTAGTTGACCATCAATTTAATTGCAATTAAATTTTTAACACTAAATTATTTTCAATTCAACTCAAGAAATAAACTCGCACCTTTTCTGATAATTATAAATTTAAATTAATTTTTTATCAATACTATTTAAATAACATTCCTCATCTCAAAACTAAATTTCATATAACATAAATGAATTCATTCCAATACTCTTGTTAAAATTAACTTACGAAAGCAAGCTCGTCCGAAATCAAATTTATAAATTTTAATCTAAACATATCATTAATATATAATTGTTTTAACAAAAATTATTAAAAATCAGTTAAAAATGACATAACTTGTAATTTAATTAATAAACATGATTATGCACAATAAGAGAAATTTTTGTTCTAACAACATTTAATACTTTCTAATATGGAATTTATTAACAATTTCTTTTTTGGATAAAAATTATAAACGAATTTTATGGACAGGGACATAAGGCAAGGGTCACCAGAAATTACCAAAAGATATGCCAACGCCATGAATATGTATTCTCACAGGCAATGTCAATTCCAAGAAGAAAAGCAAAAGGTCATGAGACAGATTCACACAACATTAGATTATAAAATCCAAAAGAAAACAGGGAAAGGACACTTAGCAATGGACAAGACACAACCGCCTCTTACCGTACGTTCTAGACACCAAAATTTTCAAATTAATCTTTTCTGGACCTCCTTGTGGAGATTATAAAAAATTTCTTAGAAGTAAACACATGCAACAAAAAAAAAAAAAAAAAACTTTCTCAAAATTTAGACGCAACACAAAGTAGAATTCAGATCTGTAATAAAAGCTGTACAAGTGTATCAAACTTCAATGTATACATACAATCAATGCTGACGCAAGTAAAGCATATTTGTGACCCTAGCTAAGCAATAACATAGACCCCTAAAACACAAATATTAATAATAATATAATATAACCAACAAAAGAAAAAAAGAAAAAAGAGGGGTAATTTTAATTTTACAAACCAAGGTGAGGATATTCTCCATGAAGGTATAAACCATAATTTCTAAGGGTTGAAGAAGTGGTCACCACAATGGCATTTCCACCCCAATGGCTTGTAATTGGAGTACCTGTTACCTTGAGAAGATGGATTAAACAAACTTTCCGTGACAACGGTTTTTGTAAGATCCGGCTGGACCGGGTCGTGGCTAGGCAAAGTTGGCACTTGAACCGCCATGCATGGATGACATTCATTGCATTTGTTGTGACAGCTAGGAGGGATTGAACCTAACCTGTTTTTCTCCTCAAACAACAGTTCCTGCACATAAAACACCAATTTTGGACCCTTATTAGAAAAAAGTACACACATGCACTTAAAGAAGAGTGTGTAGAAACAACCATGGTTTAAATCAAAAGCCTACCCGGGGAGAAATCGCAGGCTGTGGTTGATTGAAGCTAGAAACAAGACAGAGAAGATGATGCAGCAGAACTATGATGAGCAAGGTTGTGGTGGTGGTGGAGGAGGAGTACTGATATGAATTAGGTGAAGCCATGAATGCATATCATGTTACCTCTTGAAGTCATTCCCCATCTAAAAGAAAAGGCTCTAGGTGGCAAAATTTAATGCAAGTTATAACTGAGATCCGAATACCAGTCCTGTGAAACTTTCTCGACTTGTGAAGCAACCCAACCAAGAGAAGCACACTGAGGCAGAAAGAAGAGAGTTAAATAAAAGATGGCTTTTACTTATTTTCTAGTGTTGAGTGCTTTTCTTGTCATGGCGTATAGCCTGAAGAAAAGAGAAGAGGGAGAGGTACATAAAATTGGAAGATGTGTTTGCTGCCTGCAGCTATAGAGAGAGAGAGAGAGAGAGACAGTGGACACACACAGAAAAAGAAAGAGAGAGAGAGAGAGATGGAGTACAGACTGCAGAATGCAGAGTGTTGCAGAAAAGTGAAAGGAACGGTTCAAGAGTGTTAAGCAAATTGGGAGAATCCACATCAGTATATAGGACCCCTTTGCCAGCGTTCTATTAGCAGTTTGAGCCTTTGAAGCTGGTTATTAATAGTTTGGTGGAAAACAAATGCCTTTGTGTGTGTCTATGATGGGGTTAAAAAAAAAAATCAAAGGCAAGAGGTAGTTAAAATTGGCATTTATTATGCTAGCTAATTCTTGGCTCAGTTCTCAGACTAGAGATTTATCGGTTTGACTGTGTGAATGACTTGATTATTTACATTTTACAATGAAGAGTTTCCACCTGATTATATGGCTGCTACTGCAAATGGGTTGAGTGACTTGTGTCTGCTAACTTAATGTGGTGTAAATGAATCATCTTCTTGGCTCAAGGAGAGGAATTTTTTTAGTTTGCCCCTAAATAATAAATAATACCTCCCCTCAAGTTCGTAGAAAAGACAAAGAAATTGAATGACTAAGTACCTGCTGACATTACTTTTCTCTCATAAATAGAACTCCTACAGTAGTGGTCCCATATGGGATCATTAATATCATTTTGTTGTGTAAATATTTTGGTTTGTCATGAGTTTTTTTTTTCTTCTTTCAATAATGACGGAACAGAATTAAAATTAAATTTAAGAATTTTTGCAAATTATGTAAACCTTTTATCATTTGTTTTGTCATAATTCTTTAGCTTTTTAATCCATAACAGCAAAGGAAAATATTGTAATATATGCCTATGGTATACATAATCCACCAAAAGGATAATAATAACAACAATTATGCTTAATTATTGCATTTTTGCTTGCTTTAAGTGTTTTTCATGTAACATAATCCATTTTACTATGGTAAGCAATTGTGGACCTGCCCTCCTTAGAGGTGAATTTCTAAAATTGATGTAGCACACTTAAAGAAAACATTTCACACAAAATAAGCTTAAAGGGCATGTGGAACTATTGTTGTTTCAGTTTCCTTTTCGAGGTTTCGGGATTCCTTGCTGTGATTTCACAGCTTTCATTTAGTCAAAGCTGCCATTAGATTATTGACATTGCACTGAGAGGGTGAGAGGGATTGTGACTGTGTGAGTGACCAGACGTACACATCTTTTTTACCACAGAGGGGAGGAAAAAGATGTATCTGCAAAGATGAATATATTTCCATTTTGTACAGGTTTGCCCCTTCTTCTTCTTAGCTCTTGCAGTCACAAATGAGGTGCTGATCATCATCAAAAACAAGTAAAGTAATATTTTATCTACTCCATTTCTTTCTGAGTTTTCCAATCGAGGATTCCATTATTTACCATTAGAAGAGTAAAAAGGTCATGCAAAAAGACAATGACAGTCACGCTGCCCCTCTTGTATCTATATTATGTACCTTCCAAATCCTTGCTCTGATTTTCATTTTATTTTATTTTTAAGTACTATGGGATCACATTCACATGCAATCCCGGATTTAGTGGTGCTGATAATTTTGACGATTGTGACCACAAACAGGAAAATGATTAATCTCAATTTGCATGATAGGCCAGCCCAACCTGTTTTGTACTGAATTATATAACCTCTTCAGTTCACCCGTGACCCGTCCAATGAAAATTATAGTTAAATCAACGTCCTAGTGCTCACAGTTATACTAATTTTTAAAATAAGTATTTATAATTTAAAGTTATATAATTAAAATTTTAAATTTTTTTATGATTAAGTTCTTATTAACTCACAGCATCAAAACTCATTAACCTTTGCTTTTTTTAAGTTTCTATAATTGATGCAAAATTTTCAATAAATTTTTATAACTTTTTTTTTTTTTTGGAAATTTAAATTTTTATAACTTAATGTGACAATTTCAACACTGCATGCAAGTAAAGACTTCTTTAATATAGCTTACAAAAAAAAAAAAGACTTCTTTAATATATTACCAAAAAAAAAGACTTCTTTAATAAACTTTAAAAGCCTAGAAATTAAATTACAAACTTTTTTATGTACCAAAAAAAAAAAATTACAAACTTTTCAACAAAATATATGAACCTACATAATAATCAAACCGTGTAAAACGTGAGATCATGCATTTACAAAGAACCAAAGATGGATTTCTGCTACCCCCTTGTCCCCAAGAATGATAGAAATCCAAAATATTCTTTTCCTCTCAGAAATTTGAGAGCACATGTCCCAAATCTTATTTTGTTCTTTGTGATAAGGTGCTCATGAGCTTCTTTTTTTTTTTTAATACTCACTCGTGAGCCAAGTGTGAAACTCAACATTAATATGCTCTTTCCCTCAACCGAGTACCCCAGGGCTCAAGTACTCAACCCGCCTCCTAGCCAATCACCAGGCTAACTCGAGCCTAACCCAGCTCTGATACCAATGTCAGGCGGATCCAGGGGAAAGCCCGTGGCGGGAGACCGCCACCAATGAGCTAAGCTACTCCAAGTACACCAAGTGGGTCCAACACCACATCTCAACCCAAAACTTTAAGGCATTCCTTCCACTTATATACTCTTCACTTAGCTCATTACCAACCAATATGAGACTCATCACACTTGAATATCTCAACATATTTCACTATGTACATAATTTTTGTGTTACATAAGCTCGGTAATATTTTAACCTACTAAATAATTTTTTAATTACATTCTCAAAAAATTTATTTTATCAGCATATTCATAATAATCATGATTCCTAAACACAAAAATATTTCTTCTCTCTCAAACATCCCCCTTAAGGTGGATTCAATGCATGGGGGTCAGAAGCCTTGCAGACCCAGTTAAATTATAACACCCATACTCTTAGCGCCTTCATTTCTGATATCACATAAGTTCATGTGTAATAATTTTCTTCATGTAATAATTTATGTTCTACACAAAGACTAAAAATATAGTGGGGCAATTATCTTGAATGGATTTTAGTCGCTACCTCTACGTGCCAGAGCCACATCTCTCTGACCAATAAACATTTTCAATATTTTTTAATGTATATTGAAGGTTCATTTGACCATTTTACAGAAACACGCAGAGGAGGGAGAAAATGTGTATCCCATCCATTATAACCATCAACATAAGCAATGTAGAAAGAAAACTGATGATGAGCACCTTATAAACTTGAATCGAAAGTACATGCACAAACATAACCAACAACGTTCCCGAACTTTACCAGTAACAGGTCAGTAATTTCTCCCATCTTGGTCATGAGTAATTTCTTCTCACCTGTATCCACAGCAAACTTGAGGCACTCTGGAAAAAACTTGTAATCATTATTTATGTGCTTATTAAAAAAATTCTAGGTAATCTGACTTTGTGTGTTGATCGTTGATTCAGCGTACACAGCAAAACACAGAGAATATTGCACCGAGCCACCAACATTTCCCACTACGAAATTTCAGGATTTTCCTCCCTTAGTTTAAGGCAAGCTTCACGTTTGGTGGACTTCCCGTTTTACCTCATCCTCTGCTGAGTTGGAGATTTCTAATGTATCGTGTTCTTCACTGGTTTTCCGCTTACTTTCCCATAGCTTACCAGCCTTCCCAATTGCAAGAATCAGATCAAGTTGTTTTCGCTGTTGTTCCTATATGAACGCTCAGACACAATCAAGGCAAGTCAAACACAATGGTAGAAAATTATAAGGATACTTTAGAAAGTTAAGTGGTCAAGAAAATTTTAACTAAGGCATATATGGTTCCGGAGTATAAAAAATGAGTTTAAACTTTATCCATGGTTAAAATAAAACTTTTTACATTATCACAAAACAAAAAAATGTTACATCATTTAAATTTTACTAAATTCTTTCACTTACAGTAAAAGGTAACACTGCCAATGGATCAAAATAAAATCCCTGAATCACGTAAAATGTACAGAGGTGAATAGAATACAATTACAAACAGACAATTAGTCCACTAATAAAGATGCATCATTTGATTTCTAATTAGTGTCTGCTCTATCCTGCAGACTGCAGAGTTTAATTAACTTAGGAGGTATGGTTACCTGCATTGCTAGCAACACCTGTTGAATTTCACCAAGCTCCTTCTCCAAAATGTCTGATTGCATAGCTAATGATCTTGCAGCCTCAGAATTCTTCTGCGCCAGAGCTGCAGTCTTCAAGAAATGAACGAATAATTAGATATATTTTTTTTGTAAGATCTTTTTTTTTTCTTTATATTGATTCAATATATTAAACCTTAACTAGTCATTCAAAATGTTAATGAGGGCTAATAAACAATCAGAACCAGTTAGTGTATATTTTATTATTTTTTACTAATAACAAAGGATATGCAAATTTAATTTTACTAGCGATGGGAAAAAGTATGATACGAAATTATGAACCTTTTTTACATTTCAGTACACAACACACAGATTCGAGTATGATCAATATCTATGTCGCACAGGTATGGGTATGTTTATTGTATCCAGGATGTAATAAAATGTAGATGAATTTTTTTAAAAAAAATTCATGATATTTGTGCAGAAGGGTATAACGAATAACCATTAAAAATATTTAGCCATAAGAAAATTAATATAAATATTTTACTATATATTTTCATTTAAGAAGCACCAAAACGTAACAAAATCTAGTGCTTTTGCGGTGCTGTAAATGTCAAATAGAGTCACGTGTCTCCACCACAGCTTTCCTTGGTATGGCTCTAACATCCTTGTCTGGGCTTCCACTCTTTGCTGTTTGGCTCAGATTGGCTTTGTTGGGCCTATTGTTGGAATTTATATATATATATATATATATATATATATATATATATATATAAATAAATTGTATAGACAATCTATTGGTTATGAATAAGAAGTTTGGTAGTGAAAAGGTGTGCCTTTTCGTCGACAAACAGATGTATCTTTTCATCCTAAACGATGTGTTGTTTCATCCTAACGGACATGTTGTTTCATCCTTGAATGGGTGTCTTTTCGTGTTGAACGAATGTGTCTTTTCGTGTCGAACGAATGTGTCTTTTCGTGTCGAACGAATGTGTCTTTTCGTGTCCAACGGATGTGTTGTTTCGTCGTCGAATAGGTGCCTTTTGGAACGTGACTTTACGTTGTCTATAAATAGACACTGACACCTTCAGAAAATGGATCCAATTTTTCTGCACTGAAACTCTGCCGGAATTTTTCTCCTTCCGGTTTTGCATGTTCCTTTTGATACTCCGGTGTAGTTTCCTCTGGCATTTTGTTGTGTTCGTTTGGCCTGTTGACTGGTAGTGCCGCCACTCTTCAGACGAAATCCGTTCTATCCTGGGAGACAAGTGTCCATCTACCTTAGGCATCAGTGAGGGGACAAATTGTCTTAAGGAGACACGTTCTGTGGGCTCGGATTTTATCCTTCTGATTTTGCATATCTGATTCATCATTCTGTCTTTCTCTAATACCTGACAAGTAAGTCTGTTTTTTAATTGTTTATAATTGCACAGTGATAATTCTGATCATCTACCTCCTCCTCTGCTTTATACATGGGTTCAAACCTCTTAGTGATTTAACATCACCCACTGTCTTCAATAACACCTATTCCTACCAGGTCCGCAGTGCTTTCACCTGTGTTTGGATATGCCCCTATTTGGTTCCCATCACTGATAGGATCTGGTTGGTGCTGTTTGGCGCTGTTCCTGTGTGGGATTGCTGCTTCTTGAAGACAGCAATTAGATATCCCTTCAATATGTTTCCATGACAACTCCTGTGACCTCTTCCTCAACCAGCAAAACAGGTATTTTAAGTTCTGAGGTCTCCTGATCTTCAACTCTCTGCTGTTCCTACTGCTGAAAAGGCCACATGGCAGTGAATTGATGCACACTGCTCAGCAGTGTGGTTTGTAATCTTTGTGGAGACTAAAGGCTCACCTATGACACTATGGCGAGGCAAAAGAAGGGTCTATTGCCTTTTACTGTTTAAGGCACTACCACACTATACTTCACCTTCAGTGAGACACTCACTCGCCTTTAGTAACTAATGAATTTAATCAGTAGTCAATTTTAAGTGTTGGTTGTTGTGATGAAAACTGTTAATAGATATAAACCCATTAATAGGCATCTACCTAACAACTTAAGCTTTATGGAAAATTTGTGTTTAAGATGGTATGATAGCCTGTATGACTGAGTAATTAGGATAGGAATTCAATCCTTGCCACCCCCACACTGAATGAAATATAATTCCAACACAAGCTAAAATAGGCTTGTGCGTTGTACATGCTTCAGGCTCAAAGGGCTCTTGTATGAGAGACTTAGAGATATAAAATCATTCAAGGTCTTCCTACCTTATAGCTTAAGTTTCTGGGAAAGTTGGTACTACAGCTATGGAACTGAATCCAATGATGATTCCACACACTCCTAATTATTTCTATTTTTCTAATGAACTCAAGGACTATGAGTTGCAAATCAAGTTTGTTTAAGTCCTTTTGTTGTGAATTTAATTTGTAGGGAAGCTAAATTTGGTTATGAACCTTAATCTTTAAAGCTTCTTAGCAACTTATTACCGTTGGAATATAAGGGCTTTATGTTATTAGTCTGTAACAATAGGCATAGGCTTATACTAGTAGTACAATGCCACATTACAATACACTTTCTAAATCGCAGTTGTCATTATTTTGATTATTTAAATTTGTCAATCATGCATTACATACATGCTCATTACATTGCTCTGCAAAAGAAATTCACATAAAGTAATCTTTCCATTTTGTAAATCTGAAAAACTATTGTAGTTTCGCTGCAAAATCTGATTATCAATCAACAACCATCTTCCACACATCAACACATCACATTACCATTAGAAATCGTAATCACAAAGAAAGCAATTACCTCAGTAATGGGTTCCTTCAAAGCCTTCCGGGTGACCCGAAACCTAATCCCCAACTTCTCAAGCTGTCTCGATAAAACCCTAACAACCGTAGCGGAGCTCCTTAAATCCTCCTCCAATTTCTCAATCCTCTCAAGCAAATTCACCTCCAAACCATCCTTCACCGTCTCCCTACAAACCCGACTCCATTGGCGCCTCCGAATCCACGCCCCACTCAAAACCCCAACCACCAACATCAAAATCCCCAATAGAGCAGCTCTGCTGCCAATTGCCGCCAAGAGCTCCTTCTTCCAACACGCAATCACAGCGACACCTGCCGAAGAAAGCAGGCACGACAATTCGAGAAAAGAAAGGAGCGAGTCGAAAGCGGAATCGCCGACGACATGGTTGGTCACAGCAGCACCTTCGGATTGGAGGCGAGAGGGAACGGCGTGGGTTATGGAGGAGCTGAATCTGTAGGGTGTGAATAATTTGAGGTTGAGGTGAAGGGGGCGCAAGGCGATGACGGAGAGGTTGCAGTTTCTATTAGTATTGATGCAGAGTGAATGAGTAGAAGAAGGTGAATATGCAACGTGATAGTGACAAGTGAGTAACATTGTTTGTTGCAAGTGTTACTGTGGATTGGGTTGAAGCAACATTTCTAGGTTTTTCGCCTTTGGTGACGATGGCTTTCATACGCAGCGCAGCAAATGCCGATTGCTGAGTAGGTCAACCATGGGATCAATTTTGTTTTTCCTGTAATACATACTGACACTGTGCTCTAGTTGGTATCAGAAATGAAGAAATTGACAAGAAAATTTTAATATGTATGATATGTAATACAGAAACTGTATGATAGGTAAATTTTAACAATGCGCTTTTCTAGCACTTTTTTTAATACACTTTTTATATTTAGATAATAATTTATACTTTCTCAATAATTAAAAATAATAATTTTTAATGTTAGTATAAGATTTAAGATATGGGGAAAAAGTGTTAAAAAGACTGTTTAAAAAATGTATCAGTAGCATTGTTTACTGTGTATCTCATTTGGAACGGTCAATGGTGTATGAAATAAATGAGTCTGCCTTGTAGTTAGTTGCTTACATATTTATTATATGCGACAATTTAGGTCAATAATATGTTTCGAAAATAATTCATTTCATTCATTATTTATTAAAACATGAAAGTTGACTAAAATTTCACAAATCTAACATCCCATCTAATAATTTCTTAGTTTATTGAAAGCGGATTGGATGCTAAAGATGCTAATTTGATTGGTAAAAAAGGATCTCAATAGCTTATGCTTATCATGGGAAGGTAAAGATAGAAATGAATTACTTTCTGAGGAAGTACTAGAAAACCTTCAGCCTCACTCAAATATCAAGAGTTTGAAGATACAGGGTTATGAGGGAGCACAGTTACCTCCTTGGATGAAAAGTATTTCAGTTCTCAGTAGTTTAGTTGTTCTTAAACTCTACAACTGCAAAAAATGTGTCCAACTTCCACCTCTTGGTAAGTTTCCATCTCTGAAAACTCTTGACATAATTGATATGAAAAATGTGCAATACATAGATGATTCCTCTTATGAGCATCACTCGGAGAGAGCTTTTGCATCTTTGAGAACACTAAGTTTGCGCCACTTACCAAAGTTGGAAGCGATGTTAAGAGATCAAGGAGCACACATGTTCCCACTGCTATCCCAGTTGACAATACGTGATCTTCCTGTGTTATCATTGCCATTCCTTCCATCTATTGAACATCTACAAGTAGATAGATGCAACAAAGAGGTACTGAAGTCAATCTCTAACTTCAACAACCATCTCACATTCCTCCAGCTTTGTTATAACACAGACATGGTTTTCAACGAACAAGGGATGACGATGGGAAACCTGTATCATCTTAAGACCCTACACATTTCAGAGTTCACTAAACTTGAGGCATTACCTACTGAACTGGTTAACCTCAGTGCTTTAGAGGAACTTGAAATCACGTACTGTCACGAACTTGTTTATTTTCAGGAGCAAGTCCTTGAAGGTCTAAGGTCTCTTCGAACCTTGCGGATCAGTTACTGTGAGAAATTCAAATCCTTGTCTGAAGGCATTCAACACCTAACTTCACTTGAGAAACTGGATATACGTGGCTGTCCAGAGCTGCTGGCTCTGCCAAATGGTATAAAACATCTTACTCACCTTCGTGCTATGACCATAGCTGATCGTCATAAAAGCTACTTTGTACCTTTCTATACTAAGATCCCAATAGGACCTCGTCCATGTTGCTTAATACCTGAAGGCTTAGAACGTGTTCCCTCACTGCATTCGTTAGCTATTGAAGACTTTGACAAGCTAGCATCCTTGCCAGATTGCTTGGGAAAATTAGCCTCGCTTCGACGTCTGCATATCTCTAGTTGTCACGAGTTGATGTCACTGCCAGCCAGCATTCAGCACCTAACAAACTTGGAGGAAATGCGGATTTCTCATTGCACTGAGCTGGGGAAACGATGTAAGAAGGGAACAGGGAACGAATGGTACAAGATAGCACACGTCCCGCAGGTCGAAGTATATCCATAGTTCTTGCAGAATCATTCAGCAACTGCTACAAATTAGTTGGCACATTGGTAAGTTCGGTAACTTGGTTCTTTTTTTCTTCTTTTTTCCACTTTGCATTAACCTTGAATTTGAGGGAGTGTTTTTTTTAATACTTTTGAGTCTTTGACAAGGATTTTTGTAATTTTTTAATAAATGATTTGGACCTATTTAGTCTTCAGTGTTGATGTGCATGACTACTATGATGGTTAGTAATTTTTTTCTTTTTCTTGACAAAAGAGTTACCATATTAGAGGAATGATAATTCTATATTTTTTTTTGTACTTTTATATTATTAATTAAGAGTAAATACCATTTTTGGTCCTCAGTAAATTTCACGATGCCCGCTTTAGTCCCTAACAAATAAAAAGGCCCACCGTGGTCCCTAAGAAATTCAAAATAGACCCATTTTAGTCTTTTTAGGGACTAATATGGGTCTTTTTTGAATTTGTGAGGGACCACGATTTCAACTAAATGGGTTCATTTTGAATTTTTTAGGGACCACAATAGGCCTTTTTTATTTGCTAGGGACTAAAGCGGATATCGTGAAATTTGTTGAGGACCAAAAAAGATATTTACTCGTTAATTTATTAAGATACAATTTAGGGCAATGGATAAAAGGGTTGATGGTTGACAAGCTACTTATAGTCTGGGAGTGTAAAATGCGGAAATTTTGTCAGTGCTATAATATTATTGAATTTTTAGTATATCTTTCATTTACAATGTGATACGTGTTTTATTTTTTTATCAAATTATTCTCTCACCTAATATTAAAATAATTTATTTATTAATGATTTGATAAAAATAGACACATATCACATTACAAATGAAAGATGCACCGAAAATTCTCGTGCAGACCAATTAGCTTATTCAAATTTTGACTTGAATCGGGAATCACAATATGGGATGAAACAAATCTTCAGCAGGGGAAGTAAGTTTACGGTTATGTGATTTAACGAGCTGGTAATCCGAGATCCGGTATTGGATAGTCTGGGGGCAACAAGCATGTTGTGGCTTTTTCGAAGAATTACAATACTGTCTCTACCCAGAAAAATTCCTAACAGCCGGATAAAACATATAAAGTTTTTGTGTAAAGTGATTCAGATTCAATATTTACCCGCTGAACCAAAACGGTTGGCTTTATTAAAAAAAAATCCGATTCCTTAAGGAATATAATTCATAATTTAAATAAAAAATCCAAGTCTTATGAACCTAAACATGATTATTGATGTAAACAATGCTGATTAATGATATAAATTACTTTTGAAACATTTTATTAAACTAAATGATCACATAATAAATATTTAAGCAACTGCAAGACAGACTCTATGATGCACCACTCCTAATGAAATACACATTAAAGAATAATACTAACACAATTTTTTTTGAACACTTTACTATTGTGCCCCGTCTTATACTTCAAAAATTGTTATTTTTAATTTTGAACAAGTATAAAACGTTATCTAATATAAAAAGTGCATTAAAAAAAGTGTTAAATGAGCGAATGGTAATATTCCTAATACATAGTTCTTGCGAGGAATACATAGTAATATCTTACGACTAATGTGTCATGAATCATAACCCAAAATACTCCATTAAATCATCATTCATATTACAAGTCGGATACGATGATATAAATTTCAACAAGAGAGATTTGATCAAGTATTGGTGCCACTGGACAGAGAAAGAGGCCTGATGAATTTACTGCATCGTACAACTTTGGTCAGTATAAACTATAAAGACTGAACTTGCAGCAGGAGACAATCACTAACATAATATTCAATGGCAATTGTAAACCATCTTCCAAGAACTAAGCAATAAAAATACATGACCAATAACAGCCTAAGACAAATGGACAGAAAATATTCTCAATCAGAGTACAAAATGCGGAAGAAGATTAGTGTCACTAAATGCTCCCCGGATCCAAAATAATTGCTCCAGGATGCACCAATCATCAAATCTTTAACACCATTCCATATGAAGTTCTAATAGTAGGGCATGTAACGAGATGCCCTTCTAAACCTAGGTACCTTCCTGCAGTAAAATAAAAGAAACCACAAAATATCAATTAAAACAGCTTGACATAACATACGCAAATTTAAACAAGGCACGCAGCATACCCATATCCATAGGGGGAGTAAAAGTGAGGAGGAGTATATGGCCTCCTGAAGCCATATGCCATATAAGGATTAAAGCGCCTAGGTCGATATTGCTTCATTCCAGGAACATTGGTCCTCTTAGGCATAACCTGTAAACATATATATATATCCAAATCATTAAAAACTACTAATTTAGTAGAATGATCTCATCGCTAATTTAAACTCAAGGTTTTGCAAGCACTTCACAAACAATAGCAATTGACACAACATGCCTTCAATTGACGGCCGTGCAATTCAGATTCGTTCAACAAGATAGCCTCTTGAACAGCTTCAGTTTCAATAAATTCCACATAAGCAAAACCTTTAGGCTGGCCAAACTTGTCTGTCAGGATAGTGACCCTGTTCACTGTACCACATGATTGAAAGTGTTGCTGCACTTCTTCTGGTGTGCATGCATAATCAACCTGTAAAACACCAATCAATTTAAAGAGAGTTTGATGCCAATAATGAGCAACATGTCATGTTAATCCAGAAGGTGCTCAAACTTGACTCAGTTATCAACCTATCATACAAAGAACATATCACGGACAGACCTCCGAATATATCAGAACATATTCATTTTATCCTCTAAATCAAACCTACCCTGATTTTATTTTATTTTTCTAAAGAATGCCAGATCACCCTCTTAGAACTAAACAAATTAGTGCATAGTTATTATTTTTCACTACAATGTAAACAGAAACCTGCATTTTCTTAACTCCTTAATATCAGAAGAATTCCTGAAATCCCAAATACAAAACCAAACCAAGCCATGCATGATGCACCCCATAAAAAAAGTTAGCTTATTACAATCTTAATGTTTATAATCATTTTACAGGCTCTTCTCAAACTCCAGACAAACCTTCTCAAACATTCTACAATTTAGTTTCCTCCTGATAGCAATCTACAACAGCACCAACCTTCACTGGTCTCTTAAGTTTCATAAAAAATGAGCAAGGTCGTGATACCTATATCCTATGAAATTTATTAAAGTAATGCACCATCAATCTAAAATGAATAAGTGAAGCTTTAATAAATTGGTCGGAATTCTAGCCCTTTTGTAAAAAATTGCAGTATGAGAATTTTGTAAGACATGATAGAAGGGGGGTAAAAGGAAAAAGATTGAAAATAATCATTCACTAGCAACTTAATGTACAGCTAAATGACTTGAAATGAGAAGGAAAAAGCCTCAACCAAAAGATATAAGGTAGTCTAATTCATAGAAATGAAACCAATTATGAGATAAATGCCACGGGGAAGCAGCAACTGCATACCATTTGGCAATTTGGCCAAATGACACACAACAAAGGCACCACAGACCTCATTGCAGTCAACAAAAGGGCTCTATGACTAAGATTGCATGCCCAACACTTACAGAATGTTCTTCCAAAAGAACCACAAGCTGTCCTCCAGTAGTGAAGTTGAAGCATCTTTAACCCATTCTATCTCCAGTTGTACCAGTTTCAGCCATCCCCATGAGATGCCATTCACAGTTTCCACAACATAATGTTTATTTTTCCTTTTTCTTTTCTCATTTCTTTCATCTTTTTCTTTTCAACTTGATCCTATTTTTCCTTTGTAATATGTTTTTTCATTTCTTTTCAAAAACTTACAAGTTTTTTCTCCTCAATCTTTTTTGACTTTCTATTCCTTCTTGTGATATCTTATTAAATTTCAAAATCACAATATACGTTCTTTTCCCCTCTAGTAGAAGCCTAAAAAACACCAATTACATTGGCCCACCCACAAAATTCAATGTAAGCATTCCAGCGCTAATTATAGAACCTGAGTAATAAGAATGACCCTGCGATCATAGTGAGACATAAGTCAAACCCTGTCTCCGAAGATTAACAACATTCACTCCAAAACAAAAGAATATGTACAGTTAAAAAAAAGGAATAAAAGAATACAATAAAAATGAACAGATGGAGTTCAGCTCAAGGTCCATTCAACCATAGTTTATCGGCACCAACTAATAGAATTATTGCATTCTTCAAAACCAGGCCAAATTAATAGATGGACATATCAATTGAATAGATAGCCTAACTGAGAACGAGTCTGTTATCCCTGGTGATAAACAGGTGCAAAAAGTTTCAAATTTTAGAATTACCAAAAGTAAATTAAAGGACAATCAGAGGAAAAAAGTTAAACAATAATACAGGGGAAGGTTTGCTACAAGTTTTATATGATACATCCCCAAAATTTAAAAATCTTTCATAGAATGCTGCTAACTTCCTAGCATAGCATAAGCAAAACATAAGAGATAAGAAAATGAAAAGAATGTACTTGGGGGGTCTTAATAGTAAATAATCTCAATGAAAATCAACTTCCAATTTAACAGGCTTATTTCTAGTGGATTTGTATCACAGCCTCCAATTATCAGGGCCTGTTATGTGTTTTTCACTACTTTTTCATCGTATCACAGACAAATACCCAGGATCAGTAGGACAATTTGAACTAAATATATGCAACCGATCAACAGCCTACAGAAAAAACACCTACACATAAAGAAGATAGAGAAAAAAAAAGGGGGGGGGAGGGGACATAGTTCAAATTGAAATACTGTTGATGATGAGAAATAGGGTGAATCATACATTGCCAACGAAAACAGACCGAGAATCTGTCTCCTCCTTGTTTGCCTGAGAAGCAGCTGCACCGGCAGGATCTGCAAAAGAGATTCAGTCAATAAGTTGAAAAAAGAATAATAATGACGCAAAATCCGTAAAACAAGAACGACAAGTCTCTATTTAAATAGTAGTCAGATGATTTGGTGATAATGACGCAAAATCGGAAGCAAGGTAGTTATTCAAGCACTCACGAGTTTTAATTTTATCATTAATAAAAAATATGAGCTTAATTGTAAATTTGATGTCTAGCTATGGATATCTGGACTAGAATTAGAAAAAGGTGTATAACTTGATGCAGGTGGAACAAGCGAAAAAGTTCCAAATCCTGATAAGTGAAGAATTTCACGTTCTGCATAAAGATAAGTTAGCTCTCGATGATGATAAGAGTGTTCTTTCTCGAGTGTGGTCAAAAAGTCAAAGCTTGAACAAATTTGAGGAAACACAAGATTACATAACTCGGGAGAGAGTGAGTTCCAGACAAGAACGTAGAATTCCAGCTAACTCATAAGCTATTAAATAGCGATTAATCAAAATATGATAAGATCAATTAATTAATTACAGAATAATAAAAAGAGGCAATGAAAACCTTGAACAGAGCCAATCTCCTTCTCGACCTTGGCTTGCATCTCACGAAGTGCGGCGGCTTCCTCTTCCATTTCCTTCAAGCGCCGCTTCATCTCGTCGAGCTCTTTCACGGCGGCGTCATCGTCGGCGGCGGACATGTCCACGTCTCCTTCCATCTCTCCGACGTCTGGGATCTCTGCTCCGTACACCTCGTGCTCTTCCTCCTCCATCTTCGGATTTCGCATAACACAAGTTACACAACACAACTCAACCAAACCTTATGCTAAATACAAATTACAATGCAAATTAGGGTAATTCAATTATTTTCTTTATTATTTTATTTTTCATATTTGGGTTTGGGAATTATAAAACTGCACAGCACCCTGTTACTTTTTGCCGTGGACTTTGAAATGGGTCGTCCCGTGTTGGAACCATTTAAGTTGGGTGGCCCAAATCTCATTATCTTTTCTCAATGGCAATATTACTCATACTTGTTGTCCATGCTACCTTGAATTATATTTCTATTTTGACGCCTTTTAAAAAATTATATTTAAGAACATGTTAACTGGTTAAATTAATTGATGGTCTTTTGAAATGGAGTAGAAAAGGTAAAGACTTAGGATTAAATGATATATTCAACGTTGACTCAATTGATTTAAGGAATCTTAAGTTTCGATATTCTTTAAATATACAAATTTAAATTTCCTTAATTAATAGTCTCTTAGATTTGTTAAGCCTCCTTACAGTAGAGTTTGGCGCACTAATAAAATAAAATGAAACATTTTTTTTTTATATTTTTATTGGTTGCAGCCTTCTTAATAAATGTATTACTTTTTAACTCTCTATTTTTTAAAATGTATTAAATACAAATTAGAACTCATACATTGTGTCCTTAACATGTTTATCATCGCACTAGCTAAAAGACGAGTAAAATTGTAGTACTCATTTAGTATATCTCTCTTATCAAAATTAGAAATAAATAGACTTATATAATAATAAAAAAAAATACGTGAGTAAAATAAATACATTTAGGGGAGTCATATTTTTCTAATTTTAATATAAGAGGTTTATTCCAAAAAATATATATATCTTACTATTTGGACGTAAAACACTGACAAGTGATCACGATTCACGAATAAACAATAATAATTAAATCCAAAAGCTTAATTTCGTAACTCGTGATAATTACATTAATAATTTTATATTAATGCTTCTTAACAATTATTAGTATCTTATCTATAATTTATCACACTTGATCTTTCTGTGCTTTACTACACAAAATTAAATATTTAGTGGCATTATTTTTTTTCAAAGACACTGTAATAAAATTATACCTGATTCTATCTCAATTAGGGTAACGTGTTACAATTAAGGATGTATTGGATTAGGATTTTAAAAGGCTTTTTTGAGATAAAAAATCCTACGGATTTTAAAAGACATTTTAGAATTGTAGAGACTTAAAAGACTTTTTTTACAATCAAGATTTCGTAAGATTGGATTTTAAAGGATTTTAATAGAACTTATAAGATTTGAAAGGACAATATGGATTTATAAGATTTTAAAAAACCATATGAATTTTTAACAAATACTCAAAATTACAAGAGTCAATACAAAAGGGAAAGTTTATACTTACAACTTATTTTTGTTTATAACCTTTTACAACCATATCTTAATCGTTGATTTTCGTCAATCAACGGTTATCATTCATTACAAATTAAATATTAATTAATGAGTTTTATTTGCAAAAATAATAACCATTGATCGACGGAAATCAACGGCTGAGATATGGTGGTAAAATGTTGTAAACAAAAATAGGTTGTAAGTATAATAATCTTCCCCATAAAAAATAACAAAGAAATGCAATGAAATTAATAAAAAAAAGTAAAACCTAATATAATTTTCTCAATCAGTAAAACATAATATAATTTTTAACAAATATTTAAAATTACTAAATAACAGTTTTTCACATATTTAATGAGTTGAAAATTATCTTCTTCATTTGGTATCAAAACTATGCATATATGATTATAAGACCCAATATTTTTTAATTATAAAAATAATTCTAAAATTGCAAATAGAACCTAAAGTTCATGATAAAATTTCGTTTGGAATTTTTTGCAATTGATCTTGAAAACCTTGGGGTTTTTGAAATTTTCTAACCATATGAATTTGAAATTTTGGGTTTAATTATATGAAAGTTTAGAAAATTTCTCAAAAAAATTTCAATCGATACATTGAAACCTTAAATTGCTTTAGGGCTTTTGAGAAACAAGCTTTTAGTTATCTATTGACCCAAAAATTGTTAGAAATTGTTTCCTATAGTGAAGGAATTTCGTTCATGAATGTATTGTTACGAAATATAGGGTTCATATTATGAAAGTTTCAATCTTTCTTTAAATTGATATTGTTTCATTGATGTAAAACGAAAATTGGTTTGAGAGTTTTAGTTTTCCTGTTATTTTTTCACTGTTTTATGTTGTTTTTAATATAAAAATCACACATTTTTTGCGCTAAGAAAAACCGCGACCCATAGCTTGAAAAATCACTTTTTAAACTTCCAAAATTTCTCAAAAATGGCTCAAAAATATGTTATTTTTGAGATAGATTATAATAAAATCTCGTTGGTTTGTTTTTTCTGAATTGTTTTGTGATAAAAATCGCTCAAAAATATGCTTTTTTTTAGTTTTGACCAAGCTTCCATGGCGGAACCCAATTTTGAGCAGTCAACCTGCCAAAGGAAGAAGAAAACACTGCAATAGCAGAATCTCAAGAAATCCTAGGGGTTGGGGTGAGATTGTTAGCGAGACATCCTATTTATATTTTTCACTAAAAAGTCTCACGAAATCCAATCCAATAGAAAATTCATTAAAATCGTCAGATTTTTTAATACCACGAGATTGTGATTCTATTGTTTAAAATCCTGATTGAATACCAACGGATTTGGACGGATTCTAAAATAGTCCTTTAAAATCCTAATCGAATACCACGTGACTTTTTTTCAATCCATAAAAATCCTAATCGAATACCAACGAATTTTTTTGTCCAAAAACAATCCATTAAAATCCTTTGAAATATCAATCCAATACACCCTCTTAGTTTTAATTATTTATTATTTATTTGATTTATATGTAACTAATCCTAGTTAGCTGAGTAGTTATTTTATTAGTTAATTAGCTTAGCTAACTTTCTGTTATTAGATGTGTTAGTGTTGTAAGTACCTGCTTTGTACATTTCTTACATGGACTCTTTGCACTTTAGCTGATATAAATATCAGTTACTCAAAGTCTCAATATAACTTTTACACCTTTTTTTCTTTCTATGAATTTAATTCGTAAGATGGTATCAGAGCTCATTTTTGGGCTTTGGTAACCACGTTTCTTGCGCTGATATTCAATATCTGGTTTCTTATTCAATCTGGTTTTCTTCTTAATACTTTCTTGCATTTTAAATCCTCCTCATACGGTGTGGCAGCGTGTAACGTCCGGCCGCTTTAAGAATCAACGACTATCCCAACATACTAACACAAGACTTTTCAGTGTGCTTTTTTCTCACTCGCACACTTCCCGAGAAAACTTTCCAGCAGGTCACCCATCCCAGAATTGCTCCAAGTCAAGCACGCTTAACTATGGAGTTCTTCCGTTCCGAGCTACCGAAAAGCAGATGCATCTTGTTAGTTTAGGTAGTACCAATTAATTCTTATAAGCTATCTCAAACTGTGCAGTCTCATACCTGCACAGTCTCTGGAATTCCTCTCTTTCGGGTGTCGATTCGATTCATTCGTTCATGTAACCCCCCGCTGGAAGCCTGCCAGGAGCCGCTCCTTGTCCATGCCCTTTCGCACCGGCGATCACTCGCCACCCTCATCCAGCGCTTGGGATGTTACACAGCGCTGCAACAATATGGTCCTTTCTTGGATCCATCGCTTGATTGCAGATTCAATCGTCAATTCGATTATATGGATGGAACGTGCCTCAGATGTCTGGAATGACTTGGGGCAACATTTTGCCCAATCCAATATTTTTCGAATTGCAGATATTCTTGAAGATATCTTTCGTCTACAACAAGAAGATCGTCTAGTTTCAGATTATTTCATTGAACTGAAGTCGATGTGGGATGAACTTGAGATCCTACAGCCTTTACCAGTGTGCGATTGTGTTCCTGCGTGTTATTGTGGTGTAATGGTGAAGGTACACTAGCGGACCCACACGTTGGGTCACATGTCCGCAAGTGCGGACATGTGATTTTGGATTTTATTTTTTTATTTTTTTTAGTTATGTAGGTTATTATTTGTCTTTTGGTTCAATATTTATAGTAGGAGTAAATATCATTTTAAGTCCCTAACAAAAAATATGGTCTCCATTTTAGTCCCTTATCAAAAATTAGTCTCGAAGAGGTCCCTAAAAAATTCAAAGTGGATCAATTTAGTTAAAATCGTGGTCCCTCACAAATTCAAAAAAGACCTACATTAGTCTCAAAAAGATTAAAACACTTTAAATCTCATAGGGACCAGGTGACTCTCTTTTTTTTATAATGGACTAAAGTGGGGAACGAATTTTTTGTTAGGTACCAAAAATGATATTTATTCTTATATTAGTTAGTAACGTACAGAGATGATTAAAACAACGTAGCAACACAAATTGATTAGAGAGAAAACTTATTCTTCCTCCACTGTCACGTACCCATTCCCATGATTTCTTCATCATTTGTTATGGAATCAACTAGATTATGAGCGGGTTCAAGCGTTAATTTAAACTTGTTAAAATAAAATAAAAAATTCGGGGGACACCACCACTAAATGTGCGGACATAAAGAAATTTTCCTGGATCCGACGCCACTGGGTACGTGCATCAAGGGAGAGAATCCAAGTCATGCATTTTTTGAAGGGACTTAACAAAAAATTCACGTTCGCAGATAATGCTCATGGAGCCTTTTCCATATTTGAGTAGAGTGTTTGCTCCTATTTCTTAGTAGGAACGTCAACTAAGCTCAGATTTACAAACTGGTACTTTTGCTGAGTCAAAAGTCTTTGTCTCTAATCGAGGTCCAATTCGAGAATCCATTTCACAAAGAGATAGAGTCCGCAACAATGGCTTAGGGAGAGGATGCAGCACAAAGTTGTGTACACACAATGGATATGTGCTTTGAGAAGCATGGTTATCTCCAGGATATAAAACGTGAGGGAATCCACGTTCCACAAATGCTGCTGTGCAAGATTTGGATTCCGAGTCATCTTGCGATCAAAATTCAGGTGTCATGCTTACTCAGGAGCAATATCATCATTTTCTTGGACTTGAGAAACATGACATCA